TTGTAGATCCTCCCTTATTTGTTGTATATGATATAAGCTGCTCCCAGTAACCAGGAGATCATCAACATAAACCAAGATGACTAGAAGATCTTTACCTATGTTCTTAGTAAAGAGTGAGTAATCATAATGAGATTGTGAAAATCCCATATCAACTAAAGCCTCTGTTAGTTTTAAGTTCCATTGCCTTGGTGCTTGCTTCAGTCCATACAAGGACTTATGAAGTTTGCAAACCATATTTTTCTCCCCCTGGTTTGCAAAACCTTCAGGTATCTGCATATAAACTTCTTCAGGAAGACCACAATATCTGACTTAGTGTGCAATAAGAAAATCCAAGTATATCTGGACATATCATCCACAAGAGTTAAAAAATATCTTTTACCATCATGATTAGGTACTCTGTAGGGTCCCCATACATCACCATGTATAATATTAAAAATTGAACTTGAATGAGAAAGACTGGTAGGAAAAGGAAGTCTTGATTGCTTGGCAATTGGACATATAGTTTAATGCTGATCATGTATAGACACTATGTTTAATTCTTTTATTCTACTTAACACTTTGAGAGGAGCATGTCCAAGTCTTTTATGCCATAGACTACTTGCATAATCAACAGAAGAGTTAAAGCTAATAGGAATCCTTTTACATGCAGCTTCCTTTGCATATTCTCCAGAAGAACCTTGATCATTTGAAATCTTTGTTGTGGCAGTAGTATTGAGGATATACAATCCTTGATTCTCTTTACCAATCCCCAGGAACCTCCCATTGAAGAGATCCTGAAAAATACAGAAATCAGGAAAAAACACTACTGCACACCTCAACTGTTTTGTTAGTTGTGACACTGATAGAAGATTATACTTGAATTCTGGAACAAACAACACATCCTTTACTACTTTGTCTTTAAGAACCAAAGATTCACCAATATGACTAATAGACACCTGATCACCAGTAGGTAAATTAACTCTCATACCTCCCTGAACATCAAGATTTGCAGACTGACTCATTAAACCAAAGTTGTGAACCATATGATTGGAAGCACCAGTATCTATAATTAATTAATATGTGACATATCAGACATTAGGGATGTAATATTACCTGATGTTCCAGATACACCTGCAGTAGCTACAATGGCCATTGTATCCACTTCCTTACTCTTCCTTTTTCTCAGCATTTGTAATATCTCATAGTATTGTTCTTGAGTAAACATTGACACACCCTGTCCTAAAGTAGTGTCATTAGATGATTCATTTGTTCTAGTATTTGAACTTGAAGTTGAGTTTATCATTCCAGACTCATTTCCAGCAGAAGCAGCATTATTTGCATAAGAAGATACTCCTCCTTTCTTCTTTGGATAACCATGAAGTTTATAACAAGTTTCTTTTGTATGTCCTTTATAATGACAGAATTCACAATAGAGTTAAGACTTTCCTGCAGAGTAACCAGTTCTTCCATCTCCATACCCCTTATTTCTATATCCATTATTCTGAAAATTAGAAATTCCCCTTCCAGTTCCTGAGGAAGTTGTATTATTGTTGTAGTATCCACCATGTCCAGACTGAGAAGAACTAAGAGGCATTCTATTACTCATCAATGCTGTTTCAGATACAACTTCTGTAGATGAAAATGTATTTCCTGCACCATGTATTCTTTGACTCTCAACACTAACAATCATAGCATAAGCTTGATTTACACTTGGCACTGGAATCTGCATCAGCATTTGGCTTCTTGCATGAGCATAAGACTCATTAAGCCCCATCAGAAATTGCCACAACTTTTGAAATTGTAAGTGCTCAATGTATTGTTTAGACTCAGGACAGGCACATGAAGGACAAGGAATCAAAGTTTCAGCCTCATCCCATAACTCTCTCAATCTTGAAAAATAGATTGACACAGAAGAAGTCCCTTGTGACATAGTAACTAGTTTTTTGTGAAGATAAAAGGCTCTAGATGCATTTACTTTATCAAATCTTTCACACAGATCTTCCCACACTGAATGAGCATCAGATCCGTAGATCACTGCACTAATCAAACTTTTAGACACAGTATTCATAATCCATCCAAGAACAATTGCATTGCATCTATCCCATACATCATGTAAACATTCAGAATACATCTCCTTTTTACAAGTTCCAAGTAAAAATCCTAACTTGTTTTTTTCCTAGTAACACAAGTTTTAAAGATTTGCTCCACAAAGAATAATTTTCAGAACCCAACAATTGAATTGAAATCAGAACAGAACCTTGAGTATCTGAAGGATGTATAAAGAGGGGATGATTGTGATCTATTTTGGCAGTAGTTGTGACTGGAATTTGTTGTTGAACTTCACTTGAAGCTCCATCTCCAGTTGAAGGCATGATTTGATCAATTTCAACAGCTAACAGTCTTCAATTTAGACAGACACTCGATCTTCAACTCAAGATTCTTAGAACTCTTGTCTTCAGATTATGAAGAAACTAACTCAGAGATTCAACTCTTCAATGGCTCTGATACCATGTGAAGAAGCTCTGTTAATGAGCTTCAAGAAGAAGAGGAAGAAGATGAAGGAGACGAGAGAGAATGATGAAGAAGTAGAACTGTATTTTCTGTGTATTTACATATATGTTTACATACCTATATATACAATTTACATTTAAGTGTATACTAAGGATACTTAGCCTAACTACTTTATTTAATTAACTAATTTGTAGTTAACTAACTAACTAACTTCTTAACAAACTTAACAAACTAGAATATTGAAAGAATAGTACAAAGATTAGTATACAAGTTCTCTTAACAAAGAGAGTTTGATCTATATGAGATTTATGGTAAGATATTTTTTGTTATTGAATCTACTGCATTGGAAATGTATAATTTGAACGATCGAATCAAGTTAGCAATGAGAATTACTTAAGATATAAAGAGGAAGAGTTCTTCTTAAGCATATGTGAACTTGAATATCGCAAATAATGTAAATAATTATTAATGATAAGCTTTAAAACATTGAATTATTTTGTGTAGCTATTTCGTAAGGCTTATCATGATGAGATTTTTTTATTACCTAGAAGAATGTCCATAAATGTAAATAAATGTGAATGATGTGGGCTAAAGTAGATTGATTTTGCATAATAGATGCATGATTAGATTCAACATTAATGATTTTGTAAGCAACCAACTCAAATATTCTTTAGATTGTTCAAAACGTGAACCCTAACAACAAGTTTATTATTTTTTTGAAGGTGTTTTCGTTCTTTCTTTTCCAAGAGTGATCAAAAATTTCTTTTTTAGCTGATAATTCAGTAGTTGTAGTAATCACAAAGGTCCAGTTAGAAATATAAAATATTCTAATATTATTATTCCAACTAATTATATGTTGTGAGGCTGTTATTCAATTTTTGAAGCTTGGTGTTTCTTGTGGAAGGATAATGTTGCAAAAAATGGGGGACTTCTTTTGAAAATAAAATAAGATCGTATGTCTTGTTGTATGTGTCAATTTTTGTAATTGAACAATGAAAAATATAAATTTCATTTACTTTAAATAACTTTATATGTTTTTTGCTAAACACAATTTGTTTAGGAGTAGTTTCCTTTCTCTTAGAATTGAAATATTTGTCTTAATCTACCTGTGGCTTTTCTTCTGAAAGTAAAAATAAAATGTTGGTGCACTCTATTGTATTCGCATTGACATATGAGGTTATGATTTTTCTCTCAGGATATATTTAGAATGACAGTGGTTTCTTAGGACTATTTTCATGCTCTTGTATTTACTTTTGATATCGTATAACAGTGTAATATAACATGCAAAAGAGTTAACAAAGAAAATAAGCGAAGTATAGAATATAAAAGAACAAGACATATTTTTATACTGATTCAGATCATCGATGTGGTGCCTAGTCCAGTCCTTTTGGGTTTTAAGGATTTTCTTTAGAGCTTGAGGAGAACTTAGGTGATACAAAGATTTGAACTTAAACTCCTATCTGATATGCAAATCAGATCTACTATTTTGGTACAACTTCTACTTGTATAACCTACACTTAAAGTCTTTATTTCTCTTTTCTTTTTTCATTGTTCACTCAAGTGTGTACAAAACTTTATGAACGATGAAAGAAGATTACAATGTAAGTTCAAATGAATTTGCACACTTCACAACTAAGGCTAGGAGAGAATTATAAAGTGTTTTGAGGTCTGCTTTTGTTAAGGATAACTAAGAGTTTTTCAAATCAAGAATCCTAGTGCATGAGCAAGCCAATTTCTTCCTTCTTTATAAATCATCTTGTAATCTTAATTCGTTTCTTTCTCTTGAAGATATTTGTGTGATCTTGATACTTTCCTGTTTTGATTTCTTATAATCTTGATTCTCTTCAAGATATCCGTGTGATCTTGATACTTTGTTGATTTCCTATCTTCCAGATCTACTCAGACGCTAGGATTGTGGCAAACTTGATTTTGTATTCCTTGAATGGTGGCTTTCCTTTCTTGTGTTGCTTTTAGTAAGTGCCCATTGATTTCTTCCTTTGTCTTACCCTTTCTTATAAAATTTCTTGCATGCTAATTTATCAATATATGAGATGAATATTTCATTATCAAAAGTGATTAGTCATATGAGACTATCAATATGTATTGACATTTTTACACTTTTTCAACTAATGAATTATGAATATCATCAATGAGTGAATATTTTGATTCAAAATGCATGTAAATAATATCTAGCATTAGTAAACGATGTTGTTCATATGTTAATTTATAAGTTTTAACTATGACAATATTGATTTTGTATTGACACGTGTCACATATATACGTCTATTCAATTATACGACGAAGTTGAAATTTTTTTAATAAAATAAACCGACACTCAAAAAGATTATTACAGAGAAGAAAAAAGGAAAATGGCGTCGCCCGGGTTCGAACCGGAGACCTTCAGTGTGTTAGACTGACGTGATAACCAACTACACCACGACACCTTCATGTTAAACCTTTGTCAATATTATTTAGATAACTCTTTTGTATAATTGATGCAATCTTTTTCCCTTCCATTTGGATTGAGAACCAGAAGCAACAACAAAAATGGTAGCAGCAGTGACAGTAAACTCACTAAAGCCATTAACATGTGCTCCATTTTTTTCTTCTCTAAATAGCTTCAATTGCCCATGTTCTCTTGTATCTATTCCAACAATACATTCAAGATTAAGACCCTTATTGGCTCAAATGGCAGCAACTGGTGAAGTAGAGCCACAAGTCATTGACTCACATTTACATGTCTGGGCATCCCCACAAGAGGTAAATATCAATAAATAGGATCACAATTCCAATTCTTTTTCCTAACAGAATTGGAAAATCGAATAAAGAGAATAATTTCAATCATTTTTCAAGTAGGATTAGGCCACGAGGGCTTTGGCTGGAACATGGGCAATAGCACAACAATTTTATACTACTTTTTTTGTTGTTGTTGTTGTGGGGAATTGGCAAAATTGTTATAGCTCTCATTTCTGTATTCCCTTTTCAAATTGCTTGAAAATGTGCATTGGGTATGTTGTTGTTGTTGTTTTGGGGAAGTGAAAGTATGAGGAATTAATGGGTGTTTATTTGAAATTTGTTAGGCTGCAGAAAAGTATCCCTATTTTCCTGGTCAAGAACCTAGTTTGACAGGTCATGTCGAATTTCTGCTGGAGGTAAAGGGCTTCACCTTTTTTAATGTTTGATTGATTGTTATCTAGCTGTTGATTCTGCTTGTTGTTACTGCCGAGCTGAGGGTATGTCGGAAACAGCTTCTATACCTCCTTAAGGAAGGGTATGGTCTGTGTTTACTCTATTCTTCCTGACGCCATCTTGTGGGATTACACTAGGTTTGTTGTTGTATGTTTAATTTGATCAGTTGATGATAATCTACATGCCTCTTTTGTGTATGTTTAGTATAACTAAGATGTGTTGGATGATTTTAACTTGTTTGAAACATATTTTCAAGATCAGAAGGCAAAATTACTTTTGCTGTGGCGAAAAGATTTCTTTTGGAATAATTTCCTTGATGATATCATTTTCTAGTGTTTGGTTGTATTGAATTGTTAAAATGACTTCCAAAATGTTTCCTTTATCAAATATCTAATGTTTATTTCCGATTAGTTGTTTCACCGAACACTTAGAAATTGATGTCATCTTTTATACTTCAAACATCATAAACACAGCTACATATTTCTTAGTGTAGTATGCAGCTAAGCATTAGAAAATGATTTGCCAAAGTAAAACATCTCTATTAAAAATATTTCCGATGAACCAAACACACTTCTTCTGTTGTCACCGTTAAGTGCTAAACGTCACAATGCTTTCAATGTTTATGTTTTGAGCAGTGTATGGAAGAAGCAGGTGTTGATGGAGCACTCATTGTTCAGCCCATTAATCATAAGTTTGATCATTCTTATGTTACGAGGTCTCTTCATTTCTCTCCCTCTTTTTTGGGGTATTTGTTGTAAGAAATAGAGTTCCAGCTTTAAGTGAATACAACATATTCCTTAAGTAATAGTTTATAATGAAAAAATTGTCAATTGTCTTAACTGAGATGTGTGTACCTTCAATACCGTAGTAATTATAACATCTCTGCATAGGCCTTTGACCTTTTAAGGATATTGCACACATGCTATGTACCTTCTTATTTTCTCCTTCACTTAAACTGCATTTTGAGACTTATTTGTTTGTGCATTCTTCGGTCTTCTAGTTGTTTAATTATCTCTTGATGTTAGGGGTCATATTGACTTGAGAGATCTTTCGTCCTATGCCTAATTACTTCTATTCCAGTGTGCTGAAGAAGTTCCCTTCCAAATTCGTCGGTTGTTGCCTCGCGAATCCAGCAGAAGATGGGAGCGGGATAAAGCATCTTGAAGATCTGGTTTTAAAGGTTTGTAACAACTCATTATTTTCGATGTAGTGTTTTCATTCTTTAAGAATTAAGTTGGCATAAGATACTTCTGCTGATTCTAGGATGGTTATCGTGCTGTTCGCTTTAACCCGTATCTTTGGCCTTCTGGTGAAAAGGTATCAATCTTCTTTCCATCAATATTGATCTCGGATTTTATTTTGCCTTTGCTTTTGCACATGAAAATTTTATCAGAATATGAGGCACATTAAACTCTTTTATAGATTTGTTATGCTGGAAGAACCTATGAAGTTCTCTTTTAACCTAATTTTCCTTCCTGTATGGTTAACTAACTGTATGAGAAGAAACATGTTACGATCAGAAAGTAGAAGAAAAGCAGATACACATCTGATAAATGTTGTACTTATTAATGCCTTCAAATTCTAGTGTGACAGAGAAGTGCGTGAACTTGTATTTGGTAATTACCATGTTTAATCTTTTATCAGATGACAAATAAAATTGGGAAGGCATTATTCTCAAAGGCTGGAGAGCTTGGAGTGCCAGTCGGTTTCATGTGTATGAAGGTAGTTCAGTTACTAGCATTCAACTCTTTAATTTGGAATTATATTAGAACTCAAGTAATAATGTTGTATAAGCTGTTTACTTTAGGTGCTATTACCAGCTTTTTAATTAGGGAGAATGGTTTAACTCAATGATTGTTCCGTGAACTTCCTGTTCTGCTATTAATATGATGTTAATGATAGACTAACTATGATGGATTCATTCAGGGTCTACTTTTGCATTTGCAAGAAATTGAGGAGCTGTGCACAGAATTTCCCTCGACTGTAGTTTTGCTTGATCATGTAGCTTTCTGTAAGCCCCCAAAGTAAGCCATCACTGAAGTTCTCTTCTAAATCATCATTCATGCTTGAGAATACAAAGTATAATGTTAGGTAATCTATCTAAATGTCTTGTAGAAATGATGAAGAAAGACGAGGTTACTCAGAGCTGTTAAAGCTTTCAAGATTCCCACAGGTAACATTTACGGAGCATCATGCTTGATTCCTTTGATCTACACTTTTTTAGTTCAATATTTAACATCTGCACGTTAGCTGATTCAAATTCTGTAGAAGACAACTAAATCTGCGTAAACAAAAACTAACCAATTAACATGTTCGTATGATTCTAAACCTTTAAGATTGGGGCTCAATGCATTTGAACTTTCTTTATTACTATAGCTTGATTATATTCTACATTTTTTAACATTATTCTGAAGTATTCTAGACAAATCCCTTCGTAGTGTTAACTGAACTCACGACAGACTTAGTCCAATTGCCACACTATTTCCTGCTTACACTATTGTTATTGCCAACAGTTGGCTTAACGTCGTTGAGTTGATTGATATCTGAGCTAGTATTGAATTTTGGCAGGTATATGTAAAGTTTAGTGCTTTGTTCAGAGTGTCGAGAAATCCTTATCCATATGAGGACTTGCCTCATGTTCTTCCCCAACTAGTCTCCAGTTATGGTGCACATCGTATCATGTGGGGAAGGTAATAACTGACGTTCTTATTGTTCATTACTCGTTCAAAGTTGCTCTCTAATGATCTCTGAATTTCGAACCTATGTACCTGCTGCAGTGATTTCCCCTACGTTGTTGCCGAATGTGGGTATAAAGAAGCAAGAGAAGCAGTTTCTTATCTTGCTAAACAGGGACATTTACCTTCTTCTGCCACGGAGTGGATCATGGGTAAAACAATTATGCAGCTGTTTGACGGAAAATGGAGTTCTGTAGCTAATTGAACACGAAACTTGACAACTAGCAATAACAGGTTAGATGATATTTCAAACATGTCATTGAACCCTTAATTGTACTTGCGCATATCAAAAGCTCTACCTACGTGTTCATGAGAATCTAGTAACTTTTGCTCATACACTATGAAAAATTCGTGCAAGCCATCCCCCGTCTTGTGTGCTTGAACCTGTTGGATTGTAATGCTCGATAAACATTTGCTGATTACATTATACGAGAACCTTCAAGCTGTACATCACGAATAATTTCTCCTTCGGGATGATTCAATATAGCACTCTCTGTTGAGTCTGTGCTTACCTATTTCTTGATGGCTTCACATTTCTCAGTTTAGTGGACTGGGCAATTTCTACATTGTTGAGTTGTTATATGTTATTGGAATTTTACTGTTGTTTTTCTTTTTGGTTTCTCACCTAGTGTCCGTGCCCGTATTGGAGCCCACTAAATCTGGATCACGCACTATAGAGCCTATTATGGGATGCCTATTCCAACAAGATTTTCTTCATATCCGGAGCACAAAATTGAGACCTCTAGTTATATGTTGGGTAACTTTCAAAAACAACAAATATTATGCCTTAAATAAGACTCACTATAGCTACAGTTTTACTGATCACAGTTTATAGCTATCTTTTGGTTAGCTAAACATTTGTATTTGTTATATTTTTTCGCGGGTTTCGGAGAATAGATTCAAATATAAATTGATTTGTATCATAATGAATACATATTAGGAGAAAAGCGAGCGAGATCGAGAGAGGGAGGAGAAAGGATGAATACATGGTGTATTCATTTTATCGTGAATACAATTGTTATAGAATATAAATACAATTGATACAAAATATAAATATAGTTTTTCGAATACAATTGAAATAAAATATATTTCTCTCGCCTATATTGGTATGATTGGATACAATTCGTATATAATACATTTGACGGAGAGGATAAATGCATGTTGCATGTTGTATTCGAGTGAATCACAAATACAATGGATACAAAATGCAAATATAGTTGATACAAAATACAAAAATAGTTTTTCGAATACAATTGACATAAGATACAAAAATTTTATCTATATTTGATTGAATACAATTGATACATAATACATTTGAATGTATTTGTTATTGGTTGGGAGATGGATAGAGAGAGACCGGGAGAGAAAAGAGAAATTTGCTATAAAAGTCTGCGTATAAATATGAATTGTAAATATTTTAAACTATAGTGATTTATCATAAACAAATATCAATGTCTTCGCCTGCACCACCTTTTTTTTTAAAAAATATTTTAGTCATTAGTCATCTCACATGTGGTGTTATTTTCTTAATTATATTTTATTAGGACTAAAGAAATATTTTAAGTACAAATTATATATTTTTATAATGATTTTGTCCAAAAAAATTGAAAGCATTGTGAAACATCCAAAAGGTTGAAAATACAACTCTTTTGGATTTATAAATTAACACTATAAATTTGATTTGATATTTTAAAAATTCGAATCAATACACATTCAATGATAATATATGTTGGATTTAAACGTATAAATATTGTTTTTGACAATGTTATTTCACGTTCCTTAAGAATCGCCATAAAAAAAGAAGGAAAAACTATTTAACTAAACATAGATCACTATCATATATTAACCTTATCTTTAGTTTCAAACAACATATATTATCACTTTTAATATTTTATACGATATATTTTAAAAGATAAAATCAAATACATTAACTTCTTGAAAATGAAATTGATTAATTATCTTAACATTTAAGTACCTCAATTAATAATTCAAATTCTCTCTCTCTCAAATTACTTTTATCTAAGAAAGAATTTATATTGTTCATATTATTAATTTTAAAAAGGTTTACAAACATGGTTCTAAACTGATTTTGTTTTTTCTTGAACTACTTTTATGGCTTATCATTCCCAAAATCGAATAATTTTTGTATAAAAGTACAACACATTAACAATAAGATTAGCAAAATAAACACCTTTTATATTTTTTATTTTTCACTCATAAATTTGTCATTGCAGGATCCGACTCTTGTTTATATTATGTTTTAGAAATACAAACTAAAAATAAAATAAAATACATACGATAAAAAATCATTATTTTTAAATCTAAGATCATTACCCTGAAAAATATACAATATATTTCTGAGATACAAAATTGAAAAAATAAGGATACATGTTATAACTATCATTACACATACTTTATAAATCATTACTATTCAAAAGATATACACTATGTTTCATACATACATTCTATAAAACTTAGATACATGCTAAAAAAAATATTACTCTTAAATCTAAGAATATTACAATTAGACAAATACATTATGTTTTTGAGATACACATTTAAAAACATCAAGATACATTCTAACAAAATCATCAAACTTAAATACAATACCATTACTCTTGAAAAAGTTATACATGGCTAAATTGTTTTTTTTTTAGAAACACATAAACGCAAGAAAAAGAAAAGATGAAGTTTATAGAACTATTTTGGATTTATGATATCGTTATTTTAGAAAGATTTGTTAGAATATTCTAGGAAATCCATAAATCTATTAGAGTTGTTAATTAGTACTCAATTACACTTCACACACAATTAATTCAAAATTAATATGTCGAAATTTATAACAAATGAATATATGTGCATTTGACGAGTAATGATACATGTATTTAATATGATATAAAAAGTAATATTCTATCCTTTTTTAAGATACAATAATCATGATATCATAAATATAGAAAATTATATTTTATTAGGAATTTTTAAAAATCATTATCTAAATGAAAAGGAATAATGAGATTTTTACTCTCATATATATATATATATATGACCTATATTATCCGTTTAAAGATTAGGAAGAGTAATGTGCTTACTAGGAAAATGAGTATTTATGATCCACAACCTCAAGTAATAATAAAAATACTTCTAGATCAAATAATTAATAGCTAAAATATTATTTTTGAATCAAAATACTAAATAAAAATTTTAAACTAAGCTATAAGGAAAATTAATATTTTAATTTAATTTTACATCATTTAAAAACATTTTTAACCCCTTTCCCTTAATAAAACATGTAGAACTGCATAACAAACTATTTTAGATTAAAACATGATAAACCTCTCAACTTTGTCATTAGAGCTGATATACTCGTTGTTATGAAAGTGGCTCATATATATCCCCACTTATAAACAAATGGCTCACATATACCCTTTTCCTCTAACGGAAATGAAAAAAAATTAATCTAACTTTTAATTATTTTCTTAATAAAAAATATAATTTCATATAAGTAAATGTAATCTTCATTAAACATATTTTTTTTGACTTTTTTTTGTTTTAACGACTAATTTAGAATTAGTATTTTGATAATCAAATTTATTTATATTTTACTAATATTTTTGTAAAACTTATTGTAGATGACCAAATTTTTTTCTTCAATTACAAAAATCAAATTACAATATAGACAAAAAAATAGTTTAAATTTTTTTCCTTTAAAAATAAGGAATGAAAGAAAATAAAATAAGAATAAGAAACTCAAACAATTATAATAAAAGAAGTCAAAAATAATTTATGCATGAAAAAAATTAAAATATACCTTGAACTTTGATAGAAGAATCATATATACACCTAAATAATTTTTAAAAAAAATTCAAAATATAAATATAAACTTAAAATTAATTTTTTTAACTTCCGTTAAATGGTGGTTATATGTGAGTCATTTTGTAATGACAAGGGTATATTTGAGCCGTTTGTATAACGGTAAAGGCATTTATGAACCGTTTCGATAACGAGAAATATATCAGCTCCAAATAATAAAGTTAAAGGATATTCAGACCCTTTTCCCCTTTTTAATTTGTTTTGGTTTTCCAAAGTGTCATAAATTCTGTGGATATAGACTTCTTTTTATTAATAAAGATTAATAGGATACTCTATTAATCTTTATTTGTCAAAGTAGGATATTTTACTTGTATGCAAGTAGCATATATATAGTACCTAAACATTAGTGTTGTTAATAGGATCATTTGTG